CAGGCGAACAGCCCGCCGAACGCCCTGAAAGTGCAATGTTAAGGGTCGAAATCTTGTTTGACTCGAACATCGAGCCCATCCCTAATAGTCAGCAGTCAAGAGCATCTGGGAAGCTCAGACAGCAAGGGTGCTCTAATATACAGAAGTTACAACTTCCTATTGGTGGCTGTGATGGGCAGGTTCACTGACCATAAGGGAGGTGTAGAAGGCAGGAGGGGGCTGGCAAAGGGTAAGATTTCTAGCTGGAATTTACACGACCGATTGGCCCAGGGTTTTCAGGCTCACAGTAAAAAAAATTACTGAATATATGTGCAATTGGGCAGACACTACAATAGAATATGTCACTACAGGTACACTGTGCTGATGGCAGTTATTCTGCAGTTTTATTGGTTTTCAGGAGGAAGGATTCCATACACCAATTTATGTAGACAGTTGTAGACAGAAGAACATTGAAACAACCGATTCTGAAAAATCTCTCAAAGATTAAAGTCACAGACATTACAATCTATATCTAGTAGTGTATGATGTGGCCTTATAATCAGCAATGGAGCATGCAGCCCCTTAACCCTAAGGAATGTAGCCTTGTGTCTGAAGACTAGTGACATCATTAAATGGCAGCAACAAAGGGCCCCTGTTAAGGACCTACGCAAATATTAAAAAGTGTAATTGCTTAATTTTTCTGTTTGCTGTGGCTTGTTACAAGTGGTGTCCTTTCTGGGAAACTGGTAAACAAAAGGATCATAAAAACATAGCAGAGGAAAATAGTCATGCCAAGTCTAACAATTGTTCTTTATGTGAAACTGATCAGCAAAAAAAGATAAAAATAAAAACATAGGAGAAAAATAGTACTTGCAGGTTTAACCAGTCAACTTCCTTATTTGTGCTACAGAAATGACAACTGGAATCTGCCTGTTGTGTAAATTCCTAGTCTGTTAAAGAGGACCTGTCCTGTGGGAGCTGTGCTCAAAAGAGGGATTTCATCTCGCCTCCCACAAGCCCAGCATAGACCCCGCACAGCCCACCACCATAGACCCCGCACAGCCCACCTGAGACTTCACCAAGCCACTTGAGATCCTCCGCTGGAGACAACAGACCAGCACCCCGGAGCAGCAGAGAGTATGTAGCTTTATATTGAAGTATAATGCATTGCTGGGATTTGTAGTCCTGTATAGCCGATTGCCATTCGGCATTGCTGTATAATGTATTGCTGAGATTTGTAGTCCCTCTACACCTTGGAGTCAGTGGCAGAACTATCAGGGTCGCAGCTGTGACTCAGTCCTGGTACTTCACCACTTTCCTAAAATCAGGAGTCTGTATTGTTTTAGAAAAAACATGTCACATGACAAAAAAAGTGTATTGATAATTGGTAGTGATGAGTGATTGATGAAAACTATTAGGTAAAAAATAGTATCGGGGCATCCCCAGTTAGAGCCCCTATTATGTTTTGCCATCTATGTTCCATTGGGGAGATTTCCCTTTAGTTTCTGTACACATATCAGGACACGAAAGGAAATCTTCCTAAAATTAGGGAAATGCCTGTTTAGACAACTGTCACTGGAACAAGCAACCCTTCTGGAAGGTTCCTCCTCTATTCCTGTTCTGGTGTTGGGTTTTCCCTCATTCTGTCCTGTGACCGTGGTCATTAGGAAAGATGGAAGAATAAATCTTCATAGCAGGCACCACTTCCCCAATTAATCCACAGCTAAAAAGAGACCGTGCATACATTTGGATCAGAACAGAGCAAAGGAGGAAGTGGGTAATAAGCTATTTGCTTTATTACATCCTTCCAGAGCCACTGGTAGTTGAAAATACAGTCTTACAAACCTTAATACACACACACACTTTATTGGGAATATTATAATAGTGATACGTTTTACTGCACCACCAATAATTGTATTCTACAATTTCCCATAAGTATATCAATACCACCACCCAGGTTTAATGGGGTTTTTGGGAGTTGCAGAGTCAAATATGGGGCTTGCCCATTTCAGTTATCATACATGGAATTTTGGCACTTTGCATTTCTAGTCCTAGGTCACCTGAGACAGTATGACAGCCTAGGAAAGAAAATGTTAACATAATAACATACCATTTTCAAAAGTATACAACCCAGAGTATTCTAAATGCGATATTTTGAAATGTTTTGTGTAGCCACAGTGGCAGTTTGGGGAATATAGCACAATGGTGAGTGCTAAGTGACTACTCCTGAAGCCTACTTTAACATAAAAGAACAGTCAACACAAGGACAACAATCCATGTACTTCACATACTAATTAGCTTTTTTTATAGCATAACGAAACATAACAGTTAATTTGACTTTCATCAGGACTTTACCATATTTCTCCGCAAATGCAGTCCTCTGTATTGCTCAGCAGCTTTCTTCAGCTCCAAGACTTCCAGTGCTCACCACTCATGGGTCACTGTCTCTCTCACAGTCTCTCCAACAGGTTCCTCGGGTGTCACTGACCCTCTCAACCTCTCCCAGCCTTCCACGGCTGTTCCACATGTCCTCACGCACGCAGCAGATACTGCCTATGGCTGTGTCCCTCCTACACACCCACTACTCTCCTGAGTTCTGATCCAAACTCCTAATAAGGCTTTTCTTAGCCACCTGATCAACCTATACTGGTCATTGGCAACACCTGGCCCCAGGACTGGAGATTTCATCCCACTACAGTCTAAAAAACCTGGAAGAAACTGCAAAGACAGCTTCTTCCCTGCGAAAGTATTCACAACCTGGAACCTCTCAGCCACCCAGAGTTCTGGGTGACCGTGTTGCCAAATTTCTCTGTAGCATTGCCGCACACCTCTACACCACTTTATCACAGATGCTGGCCACCCTTAGCCCCAGTGAGTTCCATCATGATTCGGTCATGCATGATATCCGGCTGGCTCACTGCGTTCTGGGGCGGGAGGGGGTGTGGCGATGCATTGAAGTCAATAGCACCGCGGCTCGCAGTGCGATCGCCACACTGGAACGTGTGGCACATCAATGCCTGTGTTCCGGTACGGTGCAGTCAGAAAAAAATCCTGCATACTATTTTTTCTGACCGCACCGGGATTGATGTGCCACGCGTTCCGGCCAGGGGGCGTGGCTGCGGTGCCATTGACTTTAATCCACCACCACGCCCCCTCCCGCCCCAAAACGCAGTGAACCAGCCAGGATGCTTTTCACACACATAAATTCTTTTTTCAAATGATATTTCATAATCCTTATATGTCTTATTGCAAAAAAGCCCTGTTATTTGTAATTAGCAATTAACTAATTTAACGGTACGCCCATGTACTGGTTATACTGTTTTTTTGGACTGTTACAGGTTCAAATATATTGCATACCCATTTAAAAACTTGGAAATTTAAAAATTGATTTACTGGGTCTAGGTCGCCTTTGAGACAGTATGACAGCCTAGGAAATTAAATTTCCAAATGACATCATACCATTTTCAAAAGTAGACAACCCAGGGTATTCCAAATGGGGTATTTTGAGTTGTTTTTTGTAGTCACTTTATCATGCCTTTAGAATGCTGGGTTTAACGTAAACGGGGACAGGCCAAGGTCAGGGGATCCAGAAGTCAGAGTAGTTGGTATAGCCCAGGTACACAAAACAATTGCCAATAAATCAAGTGACATACAGAATAATTTGAATTAATGGTCTACCTGTGTATGGTAGACTCTGAAACAGTCTGTGATACATAGGCCTGGTAGAGATGGACAGGAAGGGCAATAGTAACTGGACATCCAATGATTGAAATGTGCGAGGATTAGGGGGTTGGTGAAACAAAGTATCAGAAACATTTTTTAGAGTAAATTCCAGGAAAGGTTTCCCTGTGCCTGCTTTTTTTGTAAAGCACATAGGAATGAAATACTGCCATCTGGGCTAGGTATTTGGCCTTTTTATATCGGGTCATTGTTAAGCCAAATGTAGAATGAATATCAATGGGCAAGCTCGCCTTAAAAAAAAAAACAATCAAAAAACGAAGGAGACGTTTGGGAAGTATGGATTTATTTAAACATTTATTTTATTTTGAAACCCTCGCCTGTGGCACAGTGTTAAAACCGCGCAGGTTTTCCCCAGAAGCTTACACATGGCAAAACCCGCAGAGGCACAACTTCAGCCTTACGCCATTATGAAATACTGGCCCTTCGTTACACTGATAGAAAAGAAGTGTACATGTTGTCCACCATGCATGATGAAGGTACAATGCCAGTGTCTGTCAGGGGAAAGGATGCACAAATCCAAAAAACGTAGTGCCTTGTGGAGTACAGCATGTTTAGATTTGTCAATGTGATTCCCACGTCCTCCTGCAATTGAAAAGCGATAGATACGCACATCCTTACTTTTTATTATTTTTCAATTATACAAAACTTTCTATACTCCTCTTGGACGTCTTGATGATTGTAAACGTTGATGCCTTTGACAATAATGGAAACATTTTTTTCTTCAAGGCCCATGATATGTCTATGTCACAATCTGCATTGCTTATTACTGTACACTTTATCTTGACTCTCCTACCATAATATGACTTATCTTCTTTGTATTGTAAAATCCCTTTTTTTTGTTATCCAATAAAAATTTATTTCGGAAAAAATAAATAAATCTATACTTCTTTATATTTTATATCTTCCTTACATTGTAAAGCAGTGTGCTAACTGTTGGCGCTGCAATAGTAATACAAATGCTGCAAAAAAAGATACAGAATAACCCGGAGGTGCCTATTATATTATTGTCCACCAGAGGGCAGTGTGGCCGTTTGCATAATTGTAATCACACCCACTTGGCTTCAAATCGTTTAACGATGAAATGGTACATTCTACATTTCTTCTGAAGAAAGAATAGCAGCTGTACTCTGGCTATACCAATAGAGGCACCATTTTAAAGAACAACAATCTCCCCAAACTTCCACGTTAAATAGATAAAGAAGCTGAAATCTAAGGACCCCCTCTTTTTACGCTTGGTTTAGTCTGAACCCGGAAGTGCTGAGGTACAACTTATTTCAAAGTGGAGTTTTGCTCTTTCTTCCGCCCTCACGTGTGGATGGGATCGCCTGTTGCACGCTTGCTCATGAATATTCACCGTTTATGCTAATGAGGCCCGGGCAGCGTGTACTGCAGGGTAGGCAAGTTGTGGGGGACAGCACCGTGTCCAGGACAGCAACGGGGCCCGGACTGCCATAGGAGGGAGAACTATACCGAGCACACAGCGCTCCGGAGCCGGATCACAGCGGCAAAGAAGGGCCACACCGACCAGCACTTCGTTACCTTACCGGCCAGGCCTCTACGGAGAGGGAGCCGACGGCATGGATCCGCCAGCCGGAGGAGGAGGCGGCGGCGGTTATGGAGCCGGTCCACCGGCTCCCACCAAAAGCTCCAAGGAGAAGAAGAAGCTCAAGAACCAAGATGAAGGAGGGGAGAAATCCAAGAAATTTGTAAGTTTCCTGGAGTGTCACTGCAGATCTGCACTTCATGATTTCACCCATTACACCTCTCATCTGTGTGTATATAGAGAGTTATACCTGAGCACCGGGGATCACCATAACACCCCGTGTGTCATTGTGTTCGAGGATGACAGGGGATCACCATAACAGCCCGTGTAATATTGTATACGAGGATGACAGGGGATCACCATAACAGCCCGTGTATTATTGTATACGAGGATGACAGGGGATCACCATAACAGCCCGTGTATTATTGTATACGAGGATGACAGGGGATCACCATAACACACCGTGTATTATTGCATATGAGGATGACAGGGGATCACCATAACACACCGTGTATTATTGCATATGAGGATGACGGGATCACCATGACACACCGTGTATTATTGTATACGAGGATGGCAGGGGATCACCATAACACACCGTGTATTGTATACGAGGATGACAGGGGATCACCATAACACACCGTGTATTATTGTATACGAGCATGACAGGGGATCACCATAACACACCGTGTATTGTTGCATATGAGGATGGCAGGGGATCACCATAACACACCGTGTATTGTATACGAGGATGACAGGGGATCACCATAACACACCGTGTATTATTGTATACGAGCATGACAGGGGATCACCATAACACACCGTGTATTGTTGTATACGAGCATGGCAGGGGATCACCATAACACACCGTGTATTGTATACGAGGATGACAGGGGATCACCATAACCCCCCGTGTATTATTGTATACGAGCATGGCAGGGGATTACCATAACACACCGTGTATTGTTGCATATGAGGATGGCAGGGGATCACCATAACCCCCCGTGTATTATTGTATACGAGCATGGCAGGGGATTACCATAACACACCGTGTATTGTTGCATATGAGGATGGCAGGGGATCACCATAACCCCCCGTGTATTATTGTATACGAGCATGGCAGGGGATTACCATAACACACCGTGTATTGTTGCATATGAGGATGGCAGGGGATCACCATAACCCCCCGTGTATTATTGTATACGAGCATGGCAGGGGATTACCATAACACACCGTGTATTGTTGCATATGAGGATGGCAGGGGATCACCATAACACCCCGTGTATTATTGTATACGAGCATGACAGGTTGTTGTTGTCAATGGTGCTGGCTCCCCAAAAAATCTCTTGTTGACTCCTGAATTGGATGGACTGGCTCCTGATTTTGCCCACCCCTGATCTAGAATAATACCTGATGATGAGCGGAGCCTCCCCCAATCACCATTATTACAGTGTTTGGGATTATGTGTATGGTAGATCTCTGATTATTGTAGGGGCTGCACCCTCTTCCACTTAGTATATGGTGATATGTAGAGTAATACCCGATCACAGGGGCTTCATTATACATGAGATTGCTTCTACCTGAGCACCTTTTGGTGGGCTTCTTCCCGTAGGGTGCTGTGTTATAACTAACCTTCACCTATGTATGGAGCACTGTGTATACCTGATGACAGTTCACAGTCTACCTGTGTATGGAATAAAGAGAATATGTGGGAACTTCAGCTTCACCCGAAGGCATTGTGTGTCTTTATATCTGATGGTTTATTATATGACGGAATTTGATGACAGGTGGCTGAGTACAAGACCCGTGTGTATGTATGTATATGTGTGTGTGTGTGTGTGTGTGTGTGTATATCTATCTATCTATCTATCACTGTAAGGCACATTTAAAGGGTTAGTTCACCTTTACATCACCTGTGCAAAAATGAGCGCTCTGGCGTGGTCGAACTCTGCACGCTCTCTCCCAGTCGTACAAAGTTGAGGTCAGTGGGAAGTGCACTGCCCATGCCCAAGTTGAATGGACCCTCATGTTCATCGCCCGTCCTGCCATTTAGGTCGGGGAGGGTTGCCCACTCCAGAAGTTTTACAGACTGGACTGGAGAGAGGCAGCGCCCAACCTACAGGTACACCTTGGATATGAAGCAACTTTTTTTAGAAACCTGAAGACTGCTTTTTAATATGTTACAAAAGCTGGAATGCATATGGAATTCTATTTATTTGGAAAGGTGAAGTAATAGTTTAAATATAAGTTAAATGTGTCCTAGGGTGCAATTGTACATTGGTATATAAAGGTGCACATATATAGGCCTTGTACTCCTGTCATCAAGTTCCATATAATAGCTGTAGCATCCAAGGCACTGTATTCTTGCACATACAGAATAGTACGTGTGGGTGTCTGGACACATCCCAGAAGCTGGTAAAGCTAAAGAAGAGAGCAGAATTAAACTAACTCGTACAGTCCGCTCTACTATGTCTTTCTTATTGTTAGCTGTCTATTTGTCCTACAAAGATGAAACTATGTGTCAGAGAGTGCTGTATAGTATGTCTTAGGCCTGGTTCACACCCGGGCGTTTTACAGCGCGTTCCTACGCGCTGTAAAACGCTCAACATGTGAAAACCAATGATTGCCTATGGGCATGGTTCCCACCTGGGTGTTTTACAGCGCGTAGCAAAATGCCCTACGCCCAAAGAAGTACAGGAGCTTATTTGGGGCGTATTTGCCACGCGTATCCATTAGAATGCAGCCGGATAGCCCTCGGAAACACACATCGCGGTGCAAACGCGCATATTCCGTACGCCTAGGTGTGAACCCAGCCTAAGAGGACTGTGTATACCTGCACCAGAACTCTGTATTTGTATGTACAGAGCCGTGCTGTACCTGATTATAGGCCACATCATACTCTGATGTCAATCCTATCTCCACAAACAGATGCACACGATTCACAATGTTTTTTGTTGCTTTTTCAGGAAATCGAGTTCTCTTCTCTTTTATCTTCTCTTTTAGCTTATTTTGTTTAAAGTGTATTTATACTCCAAAACTTTTTCTGGTTTTGGATGGAATGTGTAAAAGTTAGGCCCCTTTCACGTGGGCTGATGAGGAGGGGATCTGTTCACCGATCCTCTCCTGAAAAGAGCATTACGGAGCAGATGTCACCGCGGTCACATCCGTGACAGTTTTTTTTTCCCTCCACCTTGCGATGGAGCAAAAAACTGAAACTTCCGGACCCCATGTGAGTTTATGGGGAATCTGATGTAAGTAGACGTGTGTCCATTTACATCAGATTCCCCCCGATCCGGCACAATCAGGGCTCTGATCCGGTTGTTTTTCTGGACCTGGCTGAAGTTGGGAGGTAAGTGGACGTTCGTTCACACACGGGTGTCCATAGACTAACATTGGGCATCTGATCTGGTCTACTTGGAAAAACTGACAGGTGGACCCGATCGGACTGGCTGTGTGAAAGGCACCTTATAACTCCTGTCAGGTTTTACTGCTGTCCATGGCTTCGTTAGAGAGATTTCCCCACGCTTCCTGTTCTGGGTTTAACCTTTTACCAAACAGGAAGTGAGGGGAAAATCTGCCCCAGGGAGACAGACAACAATAAAAAAAAACTGTCAGAGGTTCTTGCATTCCCCTACTTAAAGCTGAAGTTGAGTGAAACATTTTGTTGTGGATACAACACCAGGGGGATATCTCACCTCTAATGAAGTGTGCCCCATGCCCTGGAACTTCCCTCTAATGCTTTTCACTCACCTCATAGTTCTAGCCGACCTGTGACAATGAGACTGTCACAGGTCGGCTCTGTAGTTCGGGAGGTGAGCGAACACATACCGGAGTTCGCTCGCCTCTCGATCCTGTCACGGCTCTCTGCCGTGACAGGGGAGGGGCTGGATTCCCCCCTCCCCGCTACGATCCGCCAGCGCTGACTGGCGGATTGGACGGGGGAGGGGGCGGGTACAGCTGGCTCTGCCTCTAGATAGGCAGAGCCAGCTGTCGGTCACGCAGCTGGGCGGATCCAGACATAATTGTCTGGGTCCGCTTCAGCCGCGGCGTCTTAGTATACCACGAGCGGCAGCTCGCGGTATACTGCGGCGTCTCAGTATATACTGAGCCTAGGGTGACGGGAGGACGCTAGTTTGTGTCCTCCCGTTACCCTAAGGAGAACTATGGGGAAAAGCCTTAACCCCATAGTTCTCCTTTAACATCATTGCCGGGATCATTCCCGGCTGCAGAGCGACTCTGCGCTGTCAGCATATAGCAGGCAATAGCCCTCTAAGTTTTGGGTCACAGGAGGACATTAGTAATTGTCCTCCTGTGACTCCAAAGAGAACTATGGCAAAAAAAAAAAGGTTTGGTCACAGTTCTCTTTTAAACTCTGGAGGTTTTCCTATGCTGTGAAGAATGAAATGGACTCATGGAAACGTCTTGTAGTTTTAGCACCTTGTGTCCATGTCCGCACCTGTGGCAGTGGCCAGATCATACTCTTACAGTATATCCTGTGTTGTTTAAGCCCACCTGGGACATTGCCGGCATGGTGTCTGCATTTTGCTCTGCTGTTTCTTTTGCAGACCTTACCTGGGAGATCAATTGGGTACCAGTTCATGTCCCCCTAGTGCATGTTGTGTGGTCGGTAGGGGTATCATTGTAAGCTGAACTGGGGAAGGGATTGACAGCAGTGTTAACCAAGCGATATATGTAGTCTGCTTATAAATTACTTCAATGACACAGATTCCAGCTTTATTTTTTTCTAATGCTGGTTATAGATGAATGAAAGGCTGTAAATGGTACAGCTACTGAATTTTCTCTGTAAGGCCTCATTCACACTAGAAAAGGCCGACATGTACAGCTCTGTGCTGTGTGCACGGCCGTATCAGTCAGCTCCCGGGAAGGACAGGTGCTGCGTGTGATTTTAGTACGCAGCCCCTGTCCCTCTCTATGGGAGTACGCCGCCTTACGCTCACCCACCCTGCATGCCCGTGCGGGTGTCCGTACTCGTACGGACCTGCACTTGGGGTGAACGTAGGGCGTCGTATGGCCGTGTACTCCCATAGAGAAGGACAGGGTCTGCATAGTATATCACACACGGCACCTGTCCTTCCCGGGAGTGACCCGATACGGATACAGAGCTTTTCGTGCCAGCCTTTTCTCGTGTGAATGAGGCCTAAA